GTACCGTTTGAATGAAAGATTTATCTTTTTCATTCATCTATAGCTTTCCTTGAAAGTGCAAAATCAAGGTTGGAAATATCCAACTCTGATGTCACTTTGCAACGCAGTGTACTATATTGAAATATAATCAACCCAAAAAGTAACCTTAAAACTTCATGGTGAATACTTCCGCTATGAATTCATCAACTTTTTCTTCAATTGTATATTGCATTTCAATTGCCAGCCAATCAATCAAACCTATTACACAAGAGCATGATTTGAAACTGATCTTGTTTCCATCATTATTTTATCGTTTCGTCTTGCCACTCTCTATTATGGAACAAATTTTTTATCAAAGCTTCAGATTATAATTGAACACATTAGAAAATGTGAAAATTACTAACCTTGTACCAAGATGGATTTAAACAACATAAAACGCTGCATCATTTCATTTGCAACAAAATATCTGTTACTAAATCTTTATGCTGAAATAAATCATAATCTATTTGCATGATTCTTCAAGCTCGATTTTGCTAAGCAAAACAAATGAATAGTATTAGAAGAGTTAGAGGTGACATATGAAGTACCTTCATATATTTTTCACAATCTTTGATGTGATCCAACAAAGATTGTTGCTATTGAGCTTGACGGTCCACAAACATGTAAATTGAAAATATAGCATCTACACTGTGGAGAGTAAAGGTTGATATATGAAGCGGTTTGAAGTATCATGAGTCCGCATCTCAATATCCGAATCTACGAGGCAAAAATATCTTTCTAATTGCCACATTTTAGCTTATTACTCCATACAATTGTATCTTCATAATGCCATACATTTAGTCACAAACAAGGTAATCACTTAGTATATTTGTTTTTACTTTATATTGTACTCAAAGTACAAATTCGTTTGACACTAAAAATCAGTTTCATCCTTGTAACACAAACTGAAATCTGGTTTTACTTCCTTAGTAAGTGTAAATTTTGTGAATTCAACTGATTTATCAACACTTTCTTCTTTTTGTTCAGTCATCTTGTTTTTTCTTCCCGCACATCCGAGATGATTATAGTGGTTGCTTGTTCTTCCATGACTATAGCTTATTCACTTCCAAAAAACTACAGAGCTTGGTTCTGTCGCAGATCAAGAAGTCATATATTTGCAGCAAAGCGTTGAGTTTTGTCTTCTATCATTATCTCTTGATCAAGGAGCTAATTTGTTTTGCAATTCATCAGTCTTTGAACATATGCTTCTCTGGTTAGATAAGCGTCAGAGAGCTACCCAGCCAACTTCCTCTAGCAAGCAACAAGTTTGCAATTTCATCCCATAAGAATTATCCACAGCTTCATTCACTTCCCTGTGCTTTTTGCCCGTCATGTGAAGGAATTGTCACGTCAAGCGACAAGAAAAAACTTCAACTATGCTCAAAATCAACCCACCTGCAGGATGATCCCTTTGCAAGAATAGCTTCACTGATGATGACGAGTCTACAGAGTGAGCACTCATGCTACTCTACGGCAGCAGCAACAAAGACAATGAACATAACAAACGCGAGGACAAAATCAAGCACTGTCAATCAGGAGATTAAGCTCCAGTGCAGTCTAGTCCAGCAGGAACTTCAGCGAAGTTCAGTTCAGATCTCTTCGACCAAGCTCCGTGCTTGAAAAAATCATACGCGTAGACATATACGGATGAAAATACAAATGTAGATCAAGAAAGATAGAGCTATGGGCCGCGAGTATGCAGTGCTAGCTCGCTTCCTTACTTGCGCACGCTTTGTCTCGTCTTGTCTGTCTTTGCTTCTTCAAATTTCAGGAGAGTTTTTGCTTCTAGACATTCATCTCTGAGGCAGCTCGACTCACTAACAAAAAAAACTCAGAAAGACATTATGGTTCACTTACATTCACGGAAACACTAGGATATTATTGATAATGTTCAAGTCGGCAAACAAGCTTGCCGACTCGCCGACCTAAGTAGTCACCATCAATTGTTAGCTAATCGACCGACTGAATTCTAATAATACGTAGACACTCTACATGAATTACAACCTAACACTAAATTTATGTCATAAATTATTTCATTCAACTCTTTTATACGATGATAAACAAATCAATTAGACTAATCAGGATTGAATTAACTAAAATCAACATGATTTGAATTAAAATCTAACAATAACATGAATGAAATATTATTTGAAAAATAAAATATGATACCAAACTAATATAAAATTGATTGTATATTTATTATAATGTAATATTAATGGCTAAAACTATACATATTTATGACATATATACAATTTTCTATTATAATCATTTAGATCATGGTGATATTCTATGATTTATCCAAAGATTGTGAAATATAATACAAGACATAAATTTCATCATTTAAAACAAATGACATCAATATTATAGTCATTTTATTTAAAAAGTAGTAAAATTTTGAAATATAATAATTTTTTAATTATCTTCATGAAATAAAATTATTTTAAAAATTAATAGAAAATACATTGATGATCAGTATTGAACATTTGATTCAAAAACTAATAACATTAAAAATCAATGATAAGAAATAAGAAATTTATTCTTATATAATAAAATTCACATCTTTCAAAATCCCATTTGAAGTAAAAATGCTGTTGAAAATTTGCCTATAATCCAATCATTGTTTGTACTTGATACAAAGATGTAAATATAAATCTAGATTCATCATCAAAGTTTTTTTCTTTCAGTTTAATCATATTCAAATACTTTTCAAGCACATGAAATAAAAATTAAAAAATATGACACAAACATGTTTATACGAGATGAGAACAGGTTTGCAAAAAAATTATTTTCAAACATGTGAAGATTTTAATCATATAAGAAATATATGTTCTTTATTTATATTATATCATCAACCTGAAAAGGTATTGATATTTCAACAGTTCTTTAAACAAAATTAACCTCAAAATTAGGATAGATAATCACATCATCACATAGACTTAAAAAAATAAAAATCAATCACAATGAATATAATTATATGAGTATGTTAAACATATATGCAATTAAATTTTAAATATTTAAAAAAAAATCGATTACAGATTGGTAATAATAATACAACTGAGTAATAATTTGACTTTTTTTATAAAGAATATACGTTAAATTCATAAATTTTGTAATCTCAGAATCATGTTATTGATCATATTTATGTTTATTCAAATTATTATTTTTTGAAAAAGAGATGTAATAAAAAACATGATGTATCCTTGCAAACGTTGATCAAATTGTTTAAAATTCGGTAAATTTATAATTTTAGTTTTTTTTTCAAAACCTAGAGATTAAAAAAAATGTATAAATTTTTTTTAAGTAAAGAATATTTTTAAAATAACTGGCATTTTAAGATTCATGATTATTTGTTTAGGAAAATTGAAGTAAAATTTAATTATTTTCAATTTCATGTCAATTATTAGTCTTATAAGTCAATCACAGTCAGCGGGTTTTATTGAAAGTTTTATATATTTTTATTTATACTCATAATTAAATATATTTTTTAAGTAGGTGAAAATTTATAATCAAATTCAATTTAAATTATTCAGACGATATTTTTTTATCAGGTATAGTCTATGAATAAATATCAAGTTATATTTAAGGTGATTTGTTTATATGGTACTGAATTAATTTTCATATCTTCAAATTTTAAATGTTTTTGAATATTTCCAATTTTTATTTATTTATTAATATATTTGGAAATTTTAAACACATTTCCTATGCTTATAATAAAATTTTAAAATTTTTTTCCTCAGTAAGCAGATAATAATATTTAAAATCACATCAATAATTTATTTTTAAATTTCACCATTTTTTTTACTTTCTAAACAAATATTTTCATTATATTTTTCAGAATATAATTTTAGAAAAAAATTTTTATTTCTTCATATTTATATCAACTTTTTGAACATATGTACCTTGATTTTTTAAAACTTTGAATACCTTTTTTAATAAATTATTTGATTTAACGTTTTACAAATCGACAGTGGTAATTTTTGTTGAATTAAAATCTTTGCAGTTTGGTATTAAGTTTATCTAACTATGTTTTGATGATAGCATCATGAAGATTCTTCATAGATCATCAGATTGAAAAGATTTAAAGTAACACATAATATTTGATATATACACAAACCTTTTTGTTAATTTGTGTGAAGAGATAATATTAAAACTAGTGCGTTTTTACTCATCTATATATTTAGATATTTCCACTCAAATCAATTGTTTTATACAAAAAATATAGGGTTAGATGGATACATAAATCTACGTCTTTATCTATATAGAATGCATCATATGTTTATGTGATTAAATTCTCATTATACATATTGTAATTAAAGTATGTTATGCGTATTATAGCACGAGACTTTGAATAAATCAAAGGAGAGGATTATCATACTTTGTAGTTTCTTTGAATAAGTAAATAATATGCTTATGTTACATAAAGATACATACTTATTTACAGACGTATAAATACGTGCGTATGTTTTATACATACGATTATACGATTTACGTCTATTTCACAATTGAAAATTGTTGTTGTTATATTTTTTATATCACGTGTGATAGAGTATATGAGTATTGATTATCAATCATTCTAGATGTTAGGCAAATAAAAGCTACAACAGGTAATGACTCTAGGTTAGAAATGGCTATGTAGAAATATATTCCTTTTATATCCTATGTTCTTTTTTCACTCTAACCTTGGATATTGTACAGCTATGGATGTGAAATTTGAAATTTAAATAAAAAAAAGTAGAAGACTGCTATAATACTATTCCATAGATCTTTATATGGACTAATTCAGTGAATATAGAATTAAGTAATGCTAGTCATAGCTTTACACGTTTCAATCTTACACATCAATCTCTACATTATTGTTTGTGACGATAATTTGAGTACGTTAATGTGATATGTTGTTCATTAGGATTCTTTGGAGACGTTACCCGACACTTTCGATTTTCCATGCATGAATCGATGGGTTTTCCACCCTTTTTTTTCATTGTGAAAGTTTGGCAGGCGAAAGTAAGGTGGAGGGTTGGAAAGTGCATCACTGCTCTGTATTGCCTCCTATGTGAAGTCCGGATCCTACCGCTAGACATTACACGTGGCATTTGGAATTGACGCGGTGATCGCAATGAAGCTAGCGTTACAAACATGGGGAAGCAGAGGTTCGATCAACATTTGATTCGGAGGCGAAAATGCATTCACTGCAGCACAAGCTTACAATTAGTGGACAAGTCGCAATGGAACCCTCCAAATCACGAATTGTTCATCGAGTAACTTCTTCGAATGTTCCGATTACTGCTCGCCGATCAGGTAAGTGATATACTAAATGTATGGCGAGTGCTTGTCGCTTTCTTCTTCAGCATACCGATAAGGGCAGATTTCGCCATGTGCACGTCATGCCACCGCCTTTCCTAAGGATTTTTTTAAACTCCAAAGAAATCTATCAGCCCTGTCAGAAATTATTGTCTAGTTCCTCTCGTTTATCAATTGGAGGTTGAAAGTCGAAATCGCGGAACAGTGAAGGCAAGATTCAAGGAGTGCAACACTTCACGATTTCGTATTCTGATCAATGATGCGAAATCGATTTAGATGTATAGTTTGTGCAGGATTGGGGATCTATGTCTACAAATACTCATATTCCGGAAACGGCTTTTCTCCGTTCAAGTTTCACTCCTGCGGGTCAAGAACAAGTAAATCAGCTTTCTTAGTTAAGAGCAGAGGAAGTCTTCATGTTCTGTAGTGGATGGCTCCCATAGGTCGTAGAAAGAGAATAGAAAAGACTTGTAATATTTAAATTCCTCTGACTGTCTCATCCTTTATTTACAAAATATGGGCTGAGTATTAGTTCCACACAGCTACGATGTCTAAGTAGTCAAGGAAGTGTCTGATGTTAGAGTACATAATAACTTTCAAGTACTGAATATTTCCACTGCATTTTGATTTCTCTTTTGGTTTCTTATGAAGCCATCGTGACACTGCATGTTCCTGATCACCAGAAAAACCACCTAACCCCAAGGTGCTTTAGTTCTTTGTGAGTCTCGCCGAGACCATATAGCTAGTTCTGCAGTGTACCTGGATTTTCCAAGTCCACATAGAAAATTCCTCTTTTGTTTAAATCATCACATGCTTGGCACCTGCAGAAGGACAGTAGAAAGCTTGCCAGTAGCCTATTGAATTTGCTATTTGCGAGACAAAAACAGTAGATGTTGCAGACGATCTCTGACCTGTGGATTACGGGATAGAGTAGTTAATATTTAGGAGACGCCAAATTTATTATATCCTCAAAATGGCCTCGTTTGTGACAATCACACATCTATCAATCTTATAGCTGAGATCTGCATTTCTTGGAGGCGGAGCTTGCAGGAATGTATTGCAAAAATTGACGACTTCAATCGGCCAAAAATTTCTTTCGTACTCATTGTCGAGAATGATTGTCATCTAGTTAGTACCGCGAAGTACAGGTGAAGCTTTGTGAGGCAAATACTAATCAGTCGTCTCAAGTAACAGTGTGCTCCTCTTTGTGGGTACGCTTGCAGATCCTAGGACGGGACTAAATCAGTTACTAGAAATGAAAAGCTTGGTTATGGATACAGAAGAACCATCCTCTTCCTCATCTATCCTGCACCAGTCTCAGGTATTTTCAATCTCCTAGCGTCATGTGTCTCATACCCAACATATTTTTATGTACTACTAAACCGGGCCGAAATACGTTTTGGTACTGAAATTTCTTTTTCATTATAGCATGTCGTTACCTTTGGTTTTCGAAGCTAACCTTGGACTGGCTGCCTCGAACAGGTCGATTCTCCTGTATCAGGTCAGAATCCTTGGTGCCTCCCACAGTTAGGAGCAGCTGTACCAGCTTTGAATGAAGTATCATTAGCTCTAGCCGAGAGGGCATCCAATTTTAGAAGGCAGATCGCTGGATTTGTTGGTCAGTTATTACTTCCTGTTTGATCCATAGGTGGAAACATTTTTCCGAAGCTTACGCTGTTATTATCGGAGTCTCTCGGGAGTCCGACATCGCATAGATTACCCCTGATCCTAAAAAAAAAAACGATTGTGGACCAAGGCTGTGACGCAATCGGTTTTTTTCCAACATAATAAGCCTCTGCGTTGTATAGTTATAGTACCGTAGTTTAACACTTTTGCAATCAAATAAGTGGTCCTTTTCCAAAATTTGAACACTTCTTTGCGATGAACAACTTTTACATTCTTTCATAGCCATAAGTATGCACCTTAAAATATAAAACGTTTAATGCAGAGGAAACGGTTGCCGGTGACGCAAGAGTACAAGCTGGGAGTGCTAGTTCATCTGAGGGAATGACTCCAGTCTTTAGCTCAACTGAGAATGAGCAGAGAACGGAAGGACAACAAGCGAATGTTACTCTCCCATCAGCTCGAGAACCTCTAGATCCAGCTTCAGAGAATAGTAGCATTCTCGGCAACTTTGGGGGAGCAGTGTCTCTCTTCAATGCTACAAGTGCGGCAATGTTGGGAATGAGCCAGAGTCTTATGTCTGGGCCACCTGCAGTCTGGCAAGGGTCAGTAAAATGTGTGGGATCTCCTCGAAGAGATGGAGGGGGATGAAGAGGAGGACTTAAGAGAGAGTAGTCCTTGAGATCAAAGAGGATATTTCTCGTTGGATTTAACCCTATTGTTAAGGTTACTTGAAAGTTTACTAGTGCCAGCCAAGAGACTTTTCTTTAGCTCTACCACATGTTAGTTCTACAGCTCCATGATTATTTTCTTAATAGAGCGGCAGCAGTAAGATTCAAATCAAACTTACTGGATAGAACTTTATCTAAATCTGCTTTACCATAAACGTGTTGGGGGTTAAGAGGTCTGAAATAATTGTTTTAAATCGGGGACAGTACATGTGTCCGAGATAGAGGGTCTTATTTTAATCATCTGCAGCTCATTGAATCGTCTTGTTAATTTCAGTATATTGCCTTCTCATTTCTCAGGCTGGTTGCTCGTGTACAAACTACATTACGAGGGTCAGCAGATGATATTGGTTGGTTACTCAAAGATCCAACTCTGCCACCTGTGGAAGACAGGACAGAGAGATTTGTGCAACTGCTTGGAAGAATAAGGTAGGAGGTTTTTAATTTCTAGTACTACGTGGATCTCATTTTCAAATATCTGTCTCTCTTTTTTTTTCTTAAGTCTACACTCAAGAAGAAGATGGAACGTCCTATGTTTATTAGGTATCGATTCTAGTGGCGGTACTGAAGTTTTCACGATGCGTTGCAGCAATGGTGTCCACGTGCTTCCCGATAATCTTGTCTATCTCCTAGTGCCTGGTACGTCGTTGTCGCTTTCAGTTCTCTCTTCTGGCAGCAGTTCACGCAGGAAGATTATATTATTTCCAAGCTCATCAGCCGATGTTGCTGCTTGACATTTTGCAGGACTATTCAGCAACCATGGGCCATTATATTTTGTTGACACCAAAAAATATTTTTCAAGATTGGGCCTTTCCTGTCACATTGCTCGCATTCACAGTGAGGTCTGTTTTTGAGACTTATTAAAGTTACTTTTTTCTTGGTTTGTTTGGTTAATGCTGTATTGTCTACTCTCTTGGTGTAATAAAATTTGCAATTTGTGGATGTATGTCTAATAGCTGTAGACCTTCGTCTTGGTCTTTGATTAGTGGTCACTGCTATTTCTTTGATGCCAATGGTATGATTACATATGAATTTTTCTCAGCTCGAGTGTGGTCGAATTTGACTTGGTCTGATTTCTTGAAATTTGTTAGGCTGCAGTTGAGACAAATGCTCGAGAACTGAAGGAATATATTGAGGAGTTGTATTGGGGCACAGGAAAACGAGTAGTACTTCTTGGACACAGCAAGGGTGGTGTTGATGCTGCTGCTGCTTTATCTATGTTCTGGCCGGAGTTGAAAGACAAAGTTGTTGGTCTAGTGCTGGCACAAAGTCCCTATGGTGGTAGTCCAGTAGCATCCGATATACTTCGAGAAGGACAAATTGCAGATTTTGAAACGAGGAGGATACTAGAGGTCGTAATAACCAAAATAATCAAGGTTTGTTGTGCTTTACGTTCACATAATGCTAAACTGAAGCTTATGATTGTAATTGTTAATCGATATTGAACTTCATGTTAAGCGCAGAATCGTTACTTATTATTTACTTACACTACTTTTTACACATGTTAAATCTCGTTAATTGTTTCCTTAAATTATTCTGCTTTTGTCATGAGCATGTCTTCTGCTTAGAAATAGGAATAATATGTTTTCTCATATCTAACACTTTATCTAGTTGCAGATTTCAAATTGTTTCCCGTTTTGTTATTATTGATGATATCTCTTACTGATTCTCATCTATATACAGGGTGACATGCGTTCTTTGGAGGATCTTACATATGAAAAAAGACGAGAATTTTTAGCAAAAAATCCTCTACCATCAGAACTACTCACAGTCTCCTTTCACACTGAGGCTAGCAGAGCTGCAAGCGTCTTATCTACGATGTCCCATATCGCCCATGCAGAGCTTCCTTGGCTGCCTGGGACTAGTGGGACATCTACCTCTGAGGAGCCTGCTGCAGGAGCAAAGCTTCCCGTAGTGATTCCGTTAGCCGCTGCAATGGCTCTTTGTGCCTTACACTTGGATCTACGGTATGGTGAGAAGAGTGACGGACTTGTGGCTCGCAAGGATGCAGAAGTACCTGGATCATTAGTGGTAAGACCTGATAAAAAGTTGGACCATGCTTGGATGGTGTATTCCCCGTCTAGAAAAGACGCTAAGGATCCGGATTCTTCTCAAATGTGTGAAGCCCTTCTTACTCTTCTTCTGGAGGAGGAAACGATGAGAAAAGCAGGCACCAGCAAAGGAGAAAAACAAGCGCTAGAAGAAATGATCGCTACTGATGAATCTGGATTTGCATCTGTGAAACCAGCTGAGGAAGAGATTGAAGTGGGTAATGACTACCTAGAGAAGCTTTGAAGTCTGGATATACACCCGGATAGAAAAATGGTTGGAGACACTGCTTCTGGACAAAACTAGCTCAATTTCACGTACCACTCACACTAGAAATGTTGATATGTTATTCGACAGGCTGTCTAATGTACCACATGCAATTGCAGTAGACTAGAAATAGTGAAGTTCAGGGGAAAGTGTGAGAAAAGCATAAGCTTCTTTCGACACTAGGAGGGGGAGTTAGGTCTTGGAGGTGATCAGTGATTTTGGATTTAGATTAGATACTGTTTATCCCCACATATGTCACTGGGGAATGCTTAAGGATTTCATTTTAGGCCAACGATTGTTTGTACATAATTTACATCAAATTTCAATCCTGTTTATTAACGGGATATGAGGACCTATAATCAGCTTTTTAAACTTTTGAACACTTCGGGTTTGCACCTCCATTGAATCGAATATACACTGAGTAGAGCACACAGGTAGTAACTTAAAATCTTATTATGTGAAGAGTTCGAGCAATGTTTAAATGTTCGAGCAATGTTTGGACACAAAATGAAGTGTCTCGGACCGCCTTATCTTCAAGTAGCTGCTCGATGCGATGTGATAAATTTAACATTCATTAATACTAAATGTTCAAACTCTTCCGGGCTCAACTTTGAACTTCTGTCAAAACACACAGGAACTTTTAAGCGTGCGAATAACAAAAAGTTATTTTTGACCTACAAGCTTGTGATATTTCCAAAAGCCACCCTGCAGAACTTACTGCTGGACTGCGCTACAATTTATTGCTTTATCTATTTGCAAAATAATCATTTCAAAACCAGAGACACGTACTCATAGTCGGAAACCAATCACAGTCGACTCTCGCCCCTGCAACAGTTCGTGACCAGGCTCCGTTTTTGCTAAACGGTTATCATTTATGTAAGATATCTCTATCTGTAAGAGCAATTGACTTATATCTTGTATTTACGGAGATTCAGTACATAGATTTACATTAAAAACTTTGTAATACTAACTAAAAATTGCACTTACGAAATCTTGACCAGGGTTAACCACGTGAAATGATAGTACTGAATCGATTTCATACTTCACACGTGCACAATAGTTTCACTCTTGCCTCCGCGTTGTCTCGGAGACCTCTCGATCAAATGGTGAGTTGCAGTTACTGAAAAACTACAATTTGCACGTAGAGTATGGTCTATTGGGAAAAACATCCAGTCTTGCACTTATCCAGGTAACTAGCAGATTGCATTTACGTTCATTTAGATAGAGCTATCGTAAATCAACTAGCTTTGGTACTTCACGACTATATTCAAGCACCTGTAAGTACTCACATAGAGAAACAATCACAGAACCTATTGACGCAAAAGATTGTCTGGTGACATGCTAGGAGATACTTTGACCTAAAATGCTCATCATCCAAACATAACATAAATGTCCTTAAGAATGATGTTGCTTCTTTACGAGTTTACCAAGTCTGAACAGTGATTTGGATATTAGCCTTACTGATAGAATGAACGGTTTTCATAATTGGAAGAACTGGAAAAAGGGGGAAATTTGGTTTCCTACTACATTGAAACTGGCTACAAGATTAAGTTCAACAAAGGGAGACAATGTTGTCCTAGTGATTTGAAATTCCGTCTCTTTTGTATAGTATTCGATACTAGGTTGGCACACCATCCAGGATTTTTTTCGAAGTCCGTTGTCAAAGGTAGTTGAAATGCGAATAGGCGGAAAATGGCTATTACGTTTCCATCTACGTAGATGCAAGCGAAGCCTTACCCTTAGGATGATTGGTGTATGCGGATGATTGTTTGAAGATATGAAACGCAGGTACATGGATCAGCCCATGTTGACCCAACTCCCGACCTCGTCTGCGATTGATTTGGGCATGACTCAGAAGATCACGCGGTCAAATGCAAGACAACTGACAGTGCTGTTTCGCTAGCTGATCGGAAGGGTTATAAAAGTGAAGGGGCGGCACTTTTGAAATCGAACACACAAGGTACAAGACCTTGTATGGGAATATGGGTCACGGTGGGACGTCGGAGGGATCCATCGTGTAAAATGAATCGTCTGGGGTATCTTCAAGTGTTTTCGGGATGGTTCCCATCAATTAAATTTTTCAAACCTTGTATATGCTTCAGAACTCCGTAACGCTTTTTTCGTCCATCAGGTTTTTATCCGGCTCGGCCTAACCTTTCATAATATAATTATCTCCAAATAGCATTGCAGAATCTCAAATCCCACAATTACTACAGGCATTCCGTTGCCAGCGTCTCAATCAAATAAACCCCGTGGGCCTTTGTTTAACGTACCGCGACCAGTACACGACTCAATCTTTCACAAAAAAACGTAGTACAAAGTTTTCAGTTCAAGTGACAATACTTCTCCCCGTAGAACGTCATCATGTGACTTTGGAGGGTCATCGTGTGCCGCTCAGTAGAATAGGTATAAAGACCCCACGGCGTGTTATGTGGTTATGGTTAGTGGAGGTAGAGTACACGACTCAATCTTACACGAAAATACGAAGTACAAAGTTTTCAGTTCAAGTGACAATACTTCTCCCCGTAGAACGTCATCATGTGACTTTGGAGGGTCATCATGTGCCGCTCAGTAGAATAGGTATAAAGACCCCACGGAGTGTTATGTGGTTATGGTTAGAGGAGGTAGAGTTAAAGATTTGCCAGGCGTAAAATACCATTGTATTCGAGGAGTTAAAGATCTTCAAGGAATACCGGGTCGACGTCGAGGCAGATCTGTTGACAAAAATCGATGAGGACAGAGGAACTCTAAGAACTTAAGGTTGTAATTTATTGTGATGAAAAGCTGTGACGTCGGTCTAAGGCAAGGTCCCAAGCTAACCGAAGCGTCACCGCTAGACCCCTCGCAGCATGTACCTGGTCTCTTCCAGCAAGTAGTGCTTCTATGGCGTTAGGGGACATATTTCTCAACGTCAGAAGATCAGAAGCCTGATTCCAATCGAGCGGGGTTATGCCAGACGGAGTGTACAAACACAAAAATTGAAGAAATGCCTTATTGTTTGTAAGGACGCAGTTTTGGATACTATAACTGGGAGAGTGGAAGAATTCGCACCAGATGGAATTTGCAGCGAAAAATTACCTTATAACATCGGGGTATCTCAACTGGAAGTGGGGGTTTCGATCAAGGCCACAACCTCCTCTCCTCGGGCATCGTCTGGGTGAAATACAACAGTGCGGAGAAGGAATCGTCGCAAATTCATCAAAATTATACTCCAGTGAAGCAAGTGCCTTTTCCAGGGATGCATCCCTCTGATGGAGGTGCCCGTCCCGCCACCCTTCCCTGGATAGAGTGGATACTCGGGCTTTGTTAAGCACGAAGAAGTAAGAAATCTTCTGTATTCCCCACAATCTAAAGCACACTGCCTTGTACAGTGGCTCACTCTTCCAGTTCGCAATTGTTTAAAGTTCATCGTTAGTAGAACATGTAGCACACATCCGTAATCGACACACGTACAGTACGGCACATTCGGAGGGCTTCTCTAGTCACGTGCTTTTTACCTTGGACTTGTGCGGCTACTGTGGTCATTTGGGATCGTGCATGGCCGAGTCGTGGATGACCGTCGATGGTCCAAAGTGTGTGTCATACATATCTCACAAAGAGCGGCAACATTTATAACGTGATTCTTGTCCGACGTAATGGTGACCTCACGTAGACCTCATACCTTCCGTCAGGCAATAAGTCAGATCTAATACCATAACCACTCAAATCAAGTCAGTCAGTGGCTTAACTCTAGTCTTCTTGTTCTCGTCGACGTTGGCATACCCTGGCAATCAAGCAGATTGCTTCAAACCTCCATCCCACTCGATTGGCATCATGGTTTCTGAGTAGTACGTGCAACCAATATGGCAAAATCCTACTTTTTTAAAGTAAGAATTCGCGTGTAGAAGCCTAATCTTCTTACGTCGTCCTCTCAGATTTGTGAAATCCAGGTCGCTTAGTTTATACTGCGCGTAAGTTAAACAGAGTTATGTAGAGCTCTCTAAGAGACTAAGGCAAAACCAGATTGTCCTGCTTGTTACCTTTCCTTCGTGATTATTCACTTATTTTTTTGCAATTTGGTGCTGATGATGAGGCCAAGTGTCTCCCTTCCGTCTTTCCACATACGCATGCCTCAGAAGACATTAATGCGAGATCTACGTCACTTCGAATGATTGGACCAGGACACAGGCATGAAATAAAGACTACGAGAAAGACCCCGAAATCTGTCCGCGGTTTGTGGTTACCCGCCCTAATACGGCAAAGCGACCGGTGGGTTTTGCAACATACCGGAAACCGACCACGACAGCGAGATCTCTGCGCTGGGGTTGGAGTTGCTGGACCTGAGAATCGTCAGCATGAACAGACAGCAAGAACCTATATACGGTATATTCACGAAGTGTAGGGAAATATGTTTCGACACTAGATACGATGCGTTGTGTAGGCCTGTTACGTGAATTATGGCAGACGTCTTTTTCCTCTTTGATTTCTATTGCAGCACTATTGTCCAGCTACGATATTTACCACGGTGATATCGTGCTTTGCACAGTTTTTCAGAACTGCAATTTACGCACCACCGGTCAGCAGTCCCCCAACAGCTTTTAACGCTTTACATCCATTCGCTCAAAAAACATTTTTGCTCGATGGTTTCATCTGGACCATGAAACTTCTGTCAAGGGACGAGGAAAGACCCTTATTAACATCCACGTCCGTAAATAGTCACTTTTACTCGGATGATATGCTAGCTATGGCAAGAAAGTCTGCCGCAGTGATGGAGCGTATAGTTACATGTAATTACGTGATTAGTGTGGATTTCCCATTAGTGGATACGATTGTAGTATCCAATGACTAAGGGATGTAGGCTTCTGTCGGAATCACACAATTCTGAATCGTAAATTGAAAGAAAAGTAGCTTTCACTTAATTGTTATTAAGTGAAAGCATGTGAATGAAAGAAAATCAACCGGCTCGAATTTCCTCGCCATTGGGAAAGAAGAAAATGATGGAACGCCTCTTGTCTTTTGAACATTAGCAACAAAAGATAAATTCTTTGTTGGTACGCACTAGTAAAGATTCATAAACATTAGCAAGCAAAACATAATAGAAGCGGTATTAAGGGTGTGATACTTGAGGATCCAATACAACCCGACACCAAATCAAGTAATAACAATTATCACTATAGATACGGGGCAGGGCGAAGTAAATAGCAACAAAAGGTGGTACTATTTTGTTTGGCAAAACAAAGATGTATTTTAGCCAAAAAATCAATTCTTATAAATCCATATTGTGAAATATGAATTATTACACAACAGTTCAAGATATCCATATTAATATAAAATTAGCACTTGAAAACTATTTTTTATGATGTATATTGGTTATGTCTATAGAGTAATAGACAAAATTGAATCAAAATAGATCATACAGCTATCAAGCATATAGATGATCATGATATGTTGTTGTTCTCTTTTTCGTCAACATGTGAAGTCAGGATACGTATATCCATACAAGTCATAAATACATGATTATATATCTTATAATTATCACATACCACTTCTCGTTATGATTGTACTAACCACCAAGCTTGTACAACTAACATGACATTGTCACACCAATAAAAGATTTTTTAGAAGTCTAATTGGCTGTAAGGCGTACAAATTTTCTCACTTCATGCGAGATATCCAAATTATCGCGCAATTGCAAACACCATATCCACAATAAATTATCGATAGCTATTTTTTGCACTCCGAATGCTCAGTGAATCGTGTCAATACCTTATGCATCTAAAGTACTATCACGTGGAGCAATGAAATTTTATAAATAACCAGAGTGGTATCATTCATTTTTGAAAGAAAGTAACCAATGTGAAAAGTTATAATCGATGCGATTCAACACACATTATTGCATGGTAGAGCCCATATCCATGAGTCTGTAACATTGCCGTGCAAGAAACTTGAACAAACAGTGAAATAATTATATTGAGCCTTCGTAGTTCAATGACAACCCCCTCCCATTCATAATGATTCGCGTGATTCAAAGATAATTACACAGCTTTTGGCTTTATACCATGAAAACAACTTGTAAAAAGCACATGTGGGGTAGGCTTCAGTTTATAGATTTCACTGTGCTGGTTTTCCCGTGAATAATTTTGAACCTCGTCAACAACCTACTGGTAGCAGGCTTCAATTTTTAAACTGCACTGTACTGGATGTGCCCGTGAACCCAAATCAACATCTTCTCAATCTCCCGGTAACATACCAAATTGTTCGGCATGAATTTTACAAGAAGTAGTTCATTCTACATGTTTAGATCAGTCCATAGACAAGTTGACTTTGATGACTCTACCATTCCTCTTCCAAATTTAGAAGAAATCCAAAATCCCGGAAGGATGATAGACTCTCTTGACCACAGAAGATAACCTACATGATTTACATTAATATGTGCAGAAAGATGTGGATGTCAAAGTCCAGGAAATGAATGTTCGCAATGAATATTAAATTATCAGCAATGGTTTTTGAAGCTGTTAAGGATGGCGTTTCGTTCTCCTCCGCATGTGCGTCCGCGAACTTACCCTGAACTTATTTGCCAAGGTCTCTCTGCGCAGGAGTTCCTCTAGCGGACTTAGAATTGATATTTATCTATTCTGCTGAGTTTCTTTACACATGTCTTCTAGTCTCATTACTGAAGAATACAAATTTTCAATATTCTCCTCTGCTTGATATTCCTAAGAATCATCTCTACCGATGCCTGTCTTAGGACGTCGGGAGACTGTTCGCGTATCATCAAAACAGGTTACGGGAAAACGTTCCGCATCCAATTCTTGGCAACTAACTTGTAAATGTTTACCAGAACTCTTTTTTCATATATATAAAACTAGCTTAAATTAAATAGCTTATTTTATTAAGACTTTGAATCAATTAAATCTCGTAGAATATATCAAACTCCCAATAAAACTTTATTCTTCATAGTGCTTTAATTTTTTCCTCATTCTAGATGATAGAGTTATAGAATTTTGAATAAGAATTTAGTCGTAGCAGGTTATAAAAGATGTCTTGAAGATATAATCAATATGTAAGTGATATTTACAATTTGATCATTACGCTTAATGACTTTACGTTTGTATCTGTGAAATGCTTTAGATTTTTTTTGGAACCAATCAGACCGAAGTTAACCATTTTAAGTGCATGAGCTCCTACGTCAACGATAATTATCGTTTTAGTTCAAAATACAAGATTTTATCAAATATAATGAAAACAAATACAGGGTAAGGAACTTTACATGCGTGTTGAGCCTCTGAAGATTTTAAAAGGATTACGATCACCACATGGACGTGCCATGAACTATAAACCCACATCGCCACAGGTTTATCCTTCCCGGTGTACCACCATATCAGACAAGTATAGTTCATAATTTCTGAAACGCGTGACTTATACGTAGAAACTGCCCAACAATGAAATCGGTCAAGCTATCAGATTCATATACAGTAGTGATGTACGCCAGCCAGCCAGAAATACTTCATTATCTATATTGTATTCCACCTACTTTTTCATAACTAAATATTTTGTCGATAGAGATATGTTTTCGGTACTGGCATATGATTTAATAATATATAGAAAGATTATTATTTATTCTGTTAGAAAATTCAACAGGTCTTAAATTCATTATGCAGTCAAATGGTGTAGTCTCCAATTGTGGCATGATATTGTCCATATGCTCCTCGGAACTCGCAGTCCGCAGCGGCACTCATGCTACTTTGTCTCATATTAGTAGAATCTGGTTCTACTGACGCCACTTTTCGAAACTGTATCGTACAGTTGCAAAGAGTAAATTCAAATTATTTCATTGAAATACTGAACTGCATTGATGTCTCCGGGATGAGCACAGTATCATCTACAACTTATCTCCTTCCCTTGTAAATCCTTTCGTCAGGAAAAGCCCACTTTGATGAGTTGAAAGGTATGAAAGTGAGTTCCAATGATAAAATTACAGGCAGAAAAGAAGAAGCTTCAATTCAAAGCTCGATGGAGCTGTGAAACCTTGAGGTCATTGACGAATTGTTAGTAAGATAGATCACCGTTTTGTAAGGGACGTTCATGCCCGAAAATCATATAGCATAAATATGCAAAATCTTGAAAAAAGTGCTTGTGTAGATTTTGTTGCTTTGCATTTAGTTCTGGGATCCGAAGCCCTATACAAAACTGGCCAGAACTGCAACTTCGTATTCAAAGAAGAGCGTGGCTGCTTCAAAAGTCGCTATTCAATGCTGACTATAGACTGTAAAGTGATTCATGCTTGGAACATGGTCAGCGACGTTTTATGTGCAGTCTTACATAAAGGATGGCATGGTTGGTGTGGCAAGGCGAGATTCCGAAAATGAATAATATAGGAGGCTAGGTTGGTGGCTTGGGAATGCAACTGATCTCCCGAGCAAAGCACACCACAAATATGGCATACCTGAAATGCTTAGCTGCCTCTGTGGCAACGAACGATCTTCCGTGTCTGCGACAAACTAGCTGACATCTGATAGCTACTGACGTTCCTGTAAGAGGACTTTGGACCCGGTGTGTCGTGTGCATTCTTACCAGACCCGGAATCGAGAAACACATTGTCTTTTACACACAAAATGGCCACATACTCACCTGAGACGGTCCTCTACGAATATATTTCCAAGTCTGACTTTCTTTGCCCCTGGTCCTCAACGTAGACTCCTGTAAACGAAGTTGAGTCCAGATGAGGTCCTGTGTGGACTCTTTGGCCCATGTTTCGAACATGGTTGTTGGTCATCGGGGTCAAGTTGTGTTGAGGAGAACAAATGAAGAAGTGGTGGCTGACTTGTTCACGAGCCCGAAGTTACTATATTCAGACGGCGTTTGTGGGTCCCATGGCCGTAAGAACGAGCCAGTGATTCTGGCCCAGCCTTCTGAAAAAGCGCAACTAACATGGTGATAGGAAGGACTTCGTCCGAGGACGAAGAAACCATCTTCCCGCATGAAGTATCTGATGGTGAGCTGAAATTAGCTACTTCTTTAAAAGTGTCGCCACCTTGCTGGGAACGGAGCGTACCTTTACGTGGTTGCAAAACTGGGTGGATGAGCGACGGGCATCTATGTGAAGAACTACTGCGCAGTGAACCATTACCGAAACATACGGCTTGAAATATGTTCGTGCAACTAATTAGTAGTTTAGGGTTCAGAGTTGTTCGGTGTAATGGATGAGGGAAAGTCCTGTAACGCTGTAAAGTTCAAATATAGATCCACATTTCGGTGGTGGCTCCCCAATATGTCACTCGATGCGTCTGCAACACGTGGAGTTTACCACCAAGCGCCTAGTCAGCGTCAATTATTTCCAATTTCTGACCCGCCCTTTGATGTAATTGTATCTGCATCACCAGACATGACTTATACAGCATGCACGAAATGCCCGAACACATGCTGATTAATAAAGCACAAATTATCTTGCAAATATATGGATTGATTTTCTTCTCGCAACTTGGTGGCATGTGATAGAGGGTCACGATGAAAGCCGAGGTGATCATCCGTGGGGATTTGGAATGCTTTAATCAACCTCGACACTTTAAGATCGGCAAGGAGTCATGGGTGCGGGTGACACCTACTTTTTATGCCCCTCACAATTAGGTCACTGTTTTGTTATTGCATTTCCAGGAAAGGTGACTAACGGCCTGACTGGACGTCATTTGCATAAAACTCCTAAGAGGATCGACTCCCACCCGGGGAGCTACAACAGAGGAGAGAAGCCTCGAAAATCAGGAAAATACGACCTTTCTGAGCATCCAATTTATCTCGGCAAGAGGGAATCGTCAACAAGACAAACAATGCAGGAATATATCGGCTTTCGAAATTTTGTGAAGGGCGTTCCAGTCAACTGCTCAATCGGAAAGGATGCGTGGTGTGGGGAAGGGTCCAAACATCAGAGGCCGCTAAATGCCGGGAGAAAGGGTCAGAGCCAACTGTGCCAAATTTAGCGAGGGCTCGATGGAAACTTTGGAGAACGCGAGCAGGAATTACCGCGATACATTTAACAGACGCTTAGGCTGCAAGTGGAAATGGCGATACTGTACTGGGTCAATCACATGCGCATTGACTGATAGGTCTTCCTTGTGTTGAGACCGGGGCACCCGACATTTCAGCCAACGCTTCTCGCCGTGCCGTGCTGGATGCTGAGTCTGCTCAGCGGTAGGGGTCTACAGTCTGTACGCTGACTCGTGACAGGTCCCGAATCATTCGAGTTACATGGTCGATCTTCGTCCGGTCGTCTCCCCACCTTTTATACCCTGTGTTCTGGGCAAATCTCAGCAGTGTAGTTTTCGAGCACCACTGTCCTCCCGTTCCCTCCATTCCTCTTGTGGCTCCTGACGGGGAAGAGAGCACACGCGCGTTCTCTTCTTCCCTTGCGCCTTGTAAAATCGAACGAAGCATAGCACAATTCCTTTCTGTCTTGGGCAGAATGTGGGGTGAGAGAGCAGCCATGGCGCTGTGCCTCGCGGCAGGAGGGTTGAGTGGAGTTCTCGCGGAGGCCGATGATGCAACCATCACAGCTTCAAGCAGCAGCATGTTCACCCTGCAGAATGTGCTGTTCGGCCTGCTAGCTGCCACGTTGGGACTGATTCTGCTGTTGAATCTGAAAGGGAAGAAGCTAAAATTGCCTCCCGGCCCTCCCGGCATTCCCATTTTCGGCAATTGGCTTCAAATTGGAGATGATCTAAATCACCGAAATTTGGCTGAGTTGGCCAAAAAGTATGGAGAAGTGTGCATGCTGAAGATGGGCCAGAGAAATTACGTCATTGTGTCTAGCCCTGAAGTTGCCAAGGAGGTTCTTCACACCCAGGGCGTGGAATTTGGATCCCGCACCAGAAATGTTGTTTTCGACATCTTTACAGGAAATGGACAGGATATGGTGTTCACAGTCTATGGAGAGCACTGGAGGAGAATGAGGAGGATCATGACTGTTCCCTTCTTCACCAACAAGGTGGTCATGCAGTCTCGATTCGCCTGGGAGGACGAAATCAATCATGTTATCAAGGACCTGACCGCTAGTAAGGAGGCCTCTACCACCGGTGTGATCATAAGAAGAAGGCTGCAGCTCATGATGTACAATGTTATGTATCGCATGATGTTCGACAGAAGGTTTGAGACAGTGGACGATCCCCTATTCGTCAAGCTGAAGGCCGTGAACGGAGAGAGGAGTCGCCTAGCTCAAAGCTTTGAATACAACTACGGTGATTTTATCCCCATCTTGAGACCATTCCTTCGAAAGTATCTTGCCTATTGCCAGCAGCTGAAGGACAAGAGGCTGGCCCTGTTCAAGGAATATTTCGTCGAAGAGCGCAAGTATGTTTCACAAACTCTTATCCGTACCCACCATCAGAGTCCTTCTTTGGGTATATTTTAAGTTGCAGCCATGTCCAGTTGTCTTCAGGGCACCCATCGTGTCCTTAAATCGACCATATGGTAGCGCTATTATCTAGCTTAAGAATCGATGTCACCTACGCCTGTGTTAAGGTGCCATGCAGTTCTTCAGTCCTAGTCAAATTCTGTTTTTGGTGTTGAGCCTGCTTCTGTCTATCTAGGAACCTTAAATTGTCATTGTGTCGAATGCCTCTCACCACAAAGTTTATGTACTCATGCGATTCTGTCTAAGTAAGTATTGGCTTCTGCTGGTGGACTAGTCGGGGTCTTAGCATAAAGTCAGGTTATGTTCTCTAACTACTATACTGAAAGTTGCTGCCATGTTTATTGAGTACAGAAAGGTATTGAGCACACGAGGATCAGGCGGTGGCGAGAAAGCAGCTATTGATTACATTTTTGAATCCGAGCAAAAGGGAGAGATAAATGAAGATAATGTATTGTATATCGTCGAGAACATCAATGTTGCTGGTAAGGACCGAATCAGTCTAGCAAGACGAGTCGCAAGAACTGTATTTGTCGTCAATCCTTTGTTTCCAGGATGACCATGGCCGTTTTCCAGCTGCACAACGAAAGAAGGTGCTGAGTAGCTATCACAATACGCGTGTATTTGTAGTCTCCAACTTTGCATGTTCTAAATCCTTGTTCAATCGTGGTGCTCATTCTTGCAGCTATTGAGACTACCTTGTGGTCCATCGAGTGGGGAGTGGCTGAGCTGTGCAACAACCCTGACATTTTCAAGAAATTAAGGAATGAGTTGGATTCTATCCTCGGTCGTGGACACTTGGTCTCCGAGCCCGATCTCCCTCAACTGCCGTACCTCGGCTCTGTGGTGAAAGAAGTCATGCGACTACACATGGCCATTCCCCTTCTTGTGCCCCACATGAATCTACATCAAGCTAAGCTTGCAGGTTATGATATACCAGCAGAGAGCAAAATTCTCGTCAACGCATGGTGGATAGCAAACAACCCCGAACACTGGGTTGAACCTGAGAAATTCAACCCTGAGCGCTTCATGGATGGCAAAATCGAATCCAGCGGGAATGATTTTCGCTTCCTTCCTTTCGGATCTGGGCGCAGAAGCTGTCCGGGTATCATCATCGCCATTCCGCTGTTGTCCTTGGTCCTAGGTCGGCTTGTCCAGTCATTTGACTTGTATCCACCTCCAGGGGTTGATAAGATTGATATGACGGAGAAAGGAGGACAATTCAGTCTTTTCATCAAGACTCATTACAACATGGTTGTTAAACCGAGGGCTGATTGAAGCAAGTATAGAGCTCACCAAGAATAGAAACTGATGATGACTAGAATATAGAACAATCAGGAAGCAGAACTTCTCAACCGACCTGAAGCTGTATAGTTGTGCTGGGGATCTTAGGTGGTGATCTGTTTCTTGAATGGAGGAGTTATCAGAATAGACACGACCCTCCAAGTATCTCCTTTTGTGAAAAGTAGGCACAGTAGAGTCTAGACGAACTAATTAGAAAAGAACCTTCAGTAAGGAGGAATAACGTCTTCCGTTTTCAACTCGATTTTTTTTGTCGAAGGTCTATAGCTGTAGCATCCTGCAAAGGGTTCGCTTTCCCCTCCCCCTCCTCAACATCTGGTCTGGCTGCCAATTGCTGCTAGGGTTGAGTAGATTGAAAATAATCTATACCTGTCCGCCGTTCACTCTACTGCAAGCGTTGCTTTCGAGGCTTTTTCTAGCGTACTTATCGTATTTTCATGATCTTTGCGTGTTGAAAATTTTCTCTGCTCCGTTCCGTTCCGTTCACGATATGTTTTTGTCGAATTTCGCAATCCGTAGATCTGAATTGCGCCCTGGGCACGAGATTCTCTTGTACAACGTGGGATGAACCCTATCTGCAATTCAAATGGTCGAGTTTTCAGATGGCGAGTGTGTCTATTCGTGATTTCATATGTCGATCCCAGCTCGCATCGCAGAAGCCCTTAAACTGTCAGCATGGTTCATGGATATATTTGTGAGCGTTACTAGAAGACCGAGAAATTTTCCGAAAAGACCTAAACCATGCAATATTTTTGAAATAGTTATCTGCATTGCTCCAATTTCCACTCCGACCTCGACTGAGAAAAACACTCTCGCCAACGCGTGACATCTCATATGATGATATTTCTGACCTCTCCGATTTCTATGTTAAGAGTTAACATTTCCTTCCATGTTCTGTAAATACTTCTCGTGCAACAGAGTTAATCTAAATTTCAAATCTATGTCGCTAAGGAATGGAACTTTATCAATATGAGACGTAAATCACATTACACATATACTCGTAGTACAACCATGCCTGTGACCGTGATTATGGATTTTATGCGTAAGACGGAAAGATGACAATACCAATTAATTCTAAATTGGTAACAATTCAAACGTAGGAGACAAATGTCCAGATGAGCCTCAGAAAGAGAGATAAACATCAAACCATTAATTTTCGAAAATTATTCAGAGCTGTAACTCTACAAATTTTGGATATGGGAGTGAATGAATGAGGTTCGAAAAGTAAGAAGAGAGAGGCGGTTGGATGATAAACTACTCGTGTTGTAATGATGTTGACTTGATCTACGCTAAACATAACTAGTGTATGATGGAGAACCACAAATCAAAAGGTGGTTGATAATTTGATGCTTAAATGATGCTAAGAGCCTTCAATAATAGGTTGAAGATCACACCAGTAAAGAAAGTCAAATTTGAATAAGATTTTTTTCTTAAAAAGGTAGAGAATATGTTTGTAGTGAAGGTAGAGACTAAGGGCTAAGCTACATGACCGGCTCTGACAATGAAACCTCGTCGGTCATTGGCAGGCAAGTAGACCCCTTTACCATACAGGAGTTAGCGGCATTTTAGTATATTCTAGGTGGCAGTAAAATCAGTTGCGAAGTAAAGTAGTCTACCACTTAATTACGCATTTTATCATAAAGTTTTCAAGTATGAACATTTTCAACAATTTCATTGTAAAGTTCAAAGATTTCACTGTAAATTTTAGAGATTTGAATGTAAAATATTGTGAATTGTAATATAAGGCATGTTTTGTTTTTTTTTTCCTCAGGATTTGATTACTACTACTCGTAGCTTAGCTTGAAATACTTCAAACAATTTTTAAAATTGTCTAATGAATCGTGGGCTTCTATTTGAATTGTTGAACAGAGCAATTGATACCCACTATCAATAATCTTCTTATACAAAGATTCCAATGCATGAAAATGAATCCTATACTATGAATCTATAATCTCCTTGGATAATTAATATTGTTGTCATCAAGACCTGCTTCATCAATACTCATCAAATCTAACAATTCCTTGACGTTTTTTAACAATGCTGCAGCATATTTTTCATTGCTTTCGTCGTCAATATGAACAAAATTTTTCAAATCTAATTGGCCAATTGATAAATTTAAGTTGATAATTGTTTCCGCTAACTCAGCAATCAAATTACATCTGCTCTCAACCCTGGTTCGGGTTCCAAATTCATGAGCTCTGCACTACAAAATGCATTTTTTATAGAACTTGACAAGACCGAATCACTAAAGTCTTTCACATAGCTTGCAGCGTCCAACAGATGTGTTGGAATTCCATAAAAAAAATCTTGCTGCACCTCGTCGTAATCTTTTTCCCAATTCTCTTTTTCGCTCCTTCAACTTCTCGTTAAGCTCATAGAAGTCAAGTATATACTTGAGATATAAATATTTATATCTCAAGTATTTATATTGTTACTTAAGAGCAACAATAATTTCCATATCACAAGTTTGTTTCCAACTAATACAGTTCGGAGGAAAAATTGCCTCACGGATGTTGTAGTGTTTGAAAGCATCAAAGTATCATAGCACATTATCAATCAGTTTAATAACAAGACGTAATGTTCATCTTTTGATTTTTGGAACAAAGATTTTGTTGAACCATTTCCAATAGATTTTCACTTACATTCATGCCTTCGCTTGATTGAAATAAGAAATTGATCCGTGTCCATCTTTAATACACGCTGGCTCCTTCGGCTTTCCAATCATTACGCAAGGAATTTTATATGATCCAGAATCGTTCGCACAAACTATCAGAGAAACACAATCTTTTAATTTTCTTTTACCTATGGTGCTTAAAATATCCTCGTTCGATGGAAAAATAGAATATCTGTTCTCCCAAAAAAACAATATTATTTCGTCCATGTTGTACACATTTTCAGGATTGTTCTGAGCAATGATGAGCAATAATCCTTCCAAGTATGATAGTAACATATGAGCATTTTTGTCAAACTCTGCGTCTTCTTCATACAGAAGCATTTTTTGCAGACCTCGACGTGTCCTGAAACAATCAAACTAATGCCATAATTTCTTAAAATTTGAATAAAAAATTGATAACGTAGAAGCGATATCTTTTGCCTTTGCAATTGCAAGAAATGATGGTACACGAAGCTTGACACGATGCATGCTGTCAATCCATGTGTACAACAGTTTTTCAAGTTTAGAAATTTGTTCAACTTAAGCTCTGAAGGTATTTTGCCTAGTTTCTTTGGAGAGTAAAGTTGATTGTTTGAGAATGAAATCTTGTTTTTCTCATCTTTTCGATTTCTTTTTGTAAAGTATTCTTGCCAAGAAATAATGTGATGCGTTAGGAGTTTAAATGAAATTATGCACTTTGGGGGGATGGGGTGGGAGGCAATTCCCCCTACTCAAGAAGTTTTTTAAAAAAGTTGATTATTTACAGATTAGTTTTTTCAAAAAGGTTCGATGCGGCACCGGGACTTTCCGGGAGGTCATTCATCCCGGTACTAGTTAAACGTCCTTGGGCTGGGAGTCTAACTACAAAGTTTTGGTGTAGTAGGCCTGGTATGACCGCATCACGTCAAGGAAGGAGTATCATGTGTATATGAAGACCTCTCGATATACGAGGTATTTGTTGCAGTTGCTTTTCACTTCAAAGAAATCTGCTGGTCGTCTAGTTGAGGTTACCGGATTAACTCCAGCATAGTGAGGCCTACGAAAACCAGTTTATCTTCTAGCCATGTGCTTAGTGCCAGCTGCAGTTCATGTGCCAGCCGGCACTAAATTAAATGTAATGCTTTGTCCTGCTATGTGAAACTAGATGTTTGAAAATTTAATTTCAAACATTTATTATTAGGCTTGTTTATATAAAAGATCTCATGAAAGCTCTTAGTAACAAAACTCAAGATACTTAATAAGGAATATTGTTTGCTACACGAACATAGCGTTGTTGGAATGAATCACTTTTTTCTTCCTCACTTTATTTAATATTTTGTTTTATTTGAAAAATAGTCAAAATTACATTAAGTATATGATGAATAAAAACTCTGAAAAAACATATTAAGTCATAGTATGAGCATATAATTATGTAATAATTAATTCATTTCTTGTCCGTTTCTTGGTCAAATTAAATACAGTTAGAAATTCACATTGTATTTCATAATTACATCATATAGTGAATCAAGGTATAACAAATATAGTTTTTGATCAAGATGAGATCATATATATTCAATTACGTAAGTTATGTAGACGTAAAATCTGAGAATCATAAAATGATCACGAGACACATGTAACGTGGTTCATCCTCGGGGAAGAGTGCTACGTCCATCAAGAACACGAGCATATTTACTTTAGATCTTGTCACGGAGAGACTCACTTTACAAGGTGAGACCTGAGGTATTTATCTCTAGTCCATACAACCGTCCTAGCTATAAATAGCTAGGAATCGAGGTTACTCCTTAAGTGGAGTTAACCCCAACAATCTCTCTCTCACGTTAAGGAACAATAACCTCTATAACATACATTATTACTCTGCGGGAAGTTTTAGACAGAAACCTAACATAAGGCCCCCTCTTTACACAAGAGTTAACTAGAACTAAGCCATAGCCATCATATGATAGAGTAATAACATAAAGAGTTAACTAAAAAACCAACTAGCATAGAGGTAACAGAAATTTTGTAACCTATATAATTACTCTGCTAGAAGTTCTAGATAGAAACCTAATACAAGGACACTCTTTACACGAGAGTTAACTTGAACTAAAGTGTAGCCACCACAGGATAGAGTAAATATATAAAGAGATAACTGAAAATACTATGATAGCAAACTTTACCTGTGCTTCCCATGCACAACCTGCATGATAACACAATATCGTTTGAAACTCTTTAGAGAAATAACTTTGACCAACACATCAATTAGATTAAATTGACCCTCTATTTTGACTAGCTCAATCATCAAAGTTTATCGTCAAGATGTACTAGCTCAATTACCAGAGTCTATCGTCAATTTTGACTAGCTCAATCATTAGAGTTTACCGTCAGGATTGACTAGCTCAATTACCAAAATCTACCATCTATCTTGACTAACTCAATCATTTTATCAAACATTCTTGTCAGATAAAATAAAAATCAGTGCATATCTTGATCATTAATCACATAATGATCAAACTCCCCCACAACTACAAATTGGTGCTCGTCTCGATCATTAATCACATAATGATCAAAACTCCCCCACAACTACATACTAAAATTTTCACTTGTCAGTATAAAGATCATGATAAATCTCCCCCTCTTTCAAGGAACAAGGCTCATTGAAAGACCCACATTTAGTTTCAAGAATCTGACAATCTACGATGCTCATGACTTCCTGTCGCTAGTGACTAGCACTCACTGTCGCCCTCGACTAATTATAATGGTGCCCATAACCTACTATCCGTCATCAGTGACCACCGTTGTCCGTGACCACCGTCACCCGCAACAGTACCGTCCATCATCCGCAACTTCCGTCGCCCGTGATTAGTGTCGCCCGCGACTGCAATATCCGTCATCCGCGACT